CGAATTCCTTTGTTAAGGCTCATTGCCAAATACAACAAAATTGTAAGAAACTATCTCCCTCTGCTGGTAACATGCTATTACAACAAAACCTAAAACTACGGAGGGTCAGTTGCATTTATGAAAACCTAATCACACCTCAAGAGTGAGATTTAGGTGATGTCTAATAGACAGTTTCCACCACCTTGCCTTCGACAAGTCTCAATCAGGATAATTCACTTAAAAGAATGGTTCACAGGAGAATGTATTCAAAGTAAATATAGCCCTAACCGGTTTGGCTCAGTGGATAGAGCATTGGCCTGTGAACTGAAGTGTCCCAGGTTCGATTCCGGTCAAGGGCATGTACCTTGGTTGCGGGCACATCCCCAATAGGGGGTGTGCAAGAGGCAGCTGATTGATGTTTCTCATTGATGTTTCTAACTCTCTATCACTCTCCCTTCCTCTCTATAAAAAAAAAAAAATCAATAAAATATATATTTTTAAAAAACACAAAGTAAATATAGTTCCAGAGAGTGAAAAAGATAAAGCCCTTTATCTTTGGGTAAATTGGTCAGATTGTTAATAATATTTTAGACAAAGAAAATTAGAGTTGCTAGTGGGATATGCATGTGGAGATGCCAATAGGAAGTCTATCTATCTGGATCAGAAATATCAGGTCAGTTCAGGTTTGGAAATCAAATTTGGGATTTTTTAGCATACAACGGGTAGCTTACACCATGAACATCTAAGTACAAACAGTGGACCGAGGACAGACCCAAAGATGAACAATATTTCAGAGACAAGAAATTATGAAACCAGAGAATTAGTAAGCACGTCACTTTAACTTCTAAGTAAAGATTAGTAACATTTAAAACATGACTCCAATTTATTATAATCATAACCATTAGGAATACAAATTGCATAATTTCGAAACAGGAAGCTGTTCCTTCAGGAAGATGAATGACATGCTGTAAACACATCGCAATTCAACTAACTTGATTATAGCAGCCAAATGCAACACTACTGAACGGCACGTTTTTAACACTGAGCGGCCTAACATGAACCATGTCAGTGAGGATAAAAACATGGGGGCTTGCCGCTTACCCTGCTTTTGTGGTTTGAGAAAGAACACACCATCGGAGATGTGAGGATTATAAATCTTACGGCAGGCAAGCCCCATAACAACAATAGGCAACCTTAAGAACTCCTACTATGGGTTCAGCGCTGTTCTAAGCTTTTCAGCATACATAGCACCTCCTCACAACCTACTTTTGAAAAAGCTACTACTATTATTATCTCCTTTTTTTTTTTTTTACATTTGGGGAAACTAAGGCACAGAAACCTTAAGTAACTTAAATACAATCACACACATAACTTAAATACAATACAAGTTGGAAGTTTCTGAAGTCGAACTTTAAAAGTCCAAGGTCCCCACTTCTATGTTGCAGCAAAGTAAAACATTGTTTAGGAAGATGCATAAATACATTTTTGAGGTAATGTTAATGTTTGTATCTGTCGTTAAAGACACAGAAGATCTTTAGAAGTTCTGGTTGCCTAGCAATATTGCCAGCTAACAGTAATGTTTTTTACCTCCCGGTAGACGATATTGTTAACTGAAGCTTGGAATACTGCTTAAGAAATACTGTAATCATTATCACACGATCAGATAGAAATAATAACATGTTTTATGCATCAGCAAATACTTTTCATTCTTTGTTGAGGTATAAAAATATTTTCAGACTTTTGCAAAAAAAACAACATGCACTCTATAAAAGCTACTTAAAAACTCAAAAAATGTTGTTCAGTCATTGACTGCCCTTAGAAAAGATGGTTCCAAAGATCACACTTCCTGTACTCGAGACGATTCACAAGGAGTCCACTCAGTGTAACACTTTGCCCTTAAAAAAAATGGCAGCACCCTAATTTCCTCGCCCTCTTCCAAGATGGCTTCCTTGACAATCCCGGACCCTAGCCTGGCTCCTCTTCCGGGGCTTGGCAGGGGGCGGGGTCCATTGAGTAACTTGCGTGCTGGAGCCCGCGACGGATGCGCGTATCAGGGCGCAGGCGCGGGGAGGGGGTTGGGAGGAGGGGAAGCGGCGAGTAAGATGGAAGATGAGGAGGTCGCTGAGAGCTGGGAGGAGGCGGCAGACAGCGGGGTAAGGAGGAGCCGCCGCCCTGGGGCAGGGCCGGGAGGGACCCGGCGTGAAGGAAGCCTCCAGGGAGTGGGTCTGAGGATGGTTATCCCCAAGGAAGGGCCCCACACGCCGGGCCGGGGGTGGTGGAGAGGCCCCCGGTCTCTGAGGTCTGGGAAGGCCTCTTAAAGGGGCCGCGTTCCATTTCTCCCTCCACCTTTGCCCGGTGCGCCTCCTTCCGTCCCCCGACGTGCGCGTCACTCGGGGCGTCCCACCCGCCACCCAAGGCCTCTTTTCTGGGCCCCCGCGCCCGCTCGCTCGCCCGGGCCCCTTTGACCCTTCCTTTCCCGTCGGACTCTCGCCTGTGGCACCATTTTATACAGTTCATGTGCTTTGATGAGGAGCGACACTGTGTGTCGTGGTGGGGCGAAGCCTGTGGTGGTGGGGTGCGGACCGGGGCGGCATGCCGGGCTCCGTAGAGGGGCAGGAACGGAAATAGTCTCTGGGCCCCTCAACTCTCTACTAAAAATCCCCCACTGCTCTGCGCTCTCCCGCCACGGTGGGCGAGCGTGGGTTTTTTCCTTTCGGTTTTACTCTGAGAGCCCGTTGCGGACGGGTCTCCCCAGGGGACTCCGCCCGAAAGACCCTCAGCCCAGCGGGCAGCCCGTCTCCCCGGGGACCCAGCCAGCGATCTGAGCCCAGAGGGAGTGTGCTCGCCGGGGGTCGAGACGGGCGGGGTGCGATGTGCAGCGTAACGTGGCCGCATTCCAGGGAAAAGAAGGGGAAATAGTGCTCGCCTTGCTTTGGGGGGTTTTCATTGACTTCCAGAAGCTGTAGGAAAGGAGCTTATCCCAAGCCGGAGCCGCCTAATTCTATTGGGTCCCGGATTCATTGGGCCTTTTCAGCGTCTGTGGCTTCATGGTGACCCTGGGGAGATGTCTCTTTTGGCCTCCTCGTGTTTGTGTCTATTCAGGGCAGGCTCCAGTGACAAATACCTTAGCAGCGGTTCTCAACCTGTGGGTCGCGACCCCTTTGGGGGTCGAACGACCCTTTCACAGGGGTCGCCTAAGACCATCGGAAAACACATATAGAATTACATATTGTGTTTGTGATTAATCACTATGCTTTCATTATCTTCAATTTGTAACAATGAAAATACATGCTGCCTATCAGATATTTACATGACGATTCGTAACAGTAGCAACATGACAGTGATGAAGTAGCAACGAAAATAATGTTATGGTTGGGGGTCACCACCCCATGAGGAACTGTATTAAAGGGTCGCGGCATGAGGAAGGTTGAGAACCACTGTCCTAGAGGTTTCCGAGCTGGGAGAGGGGCGTGGGGAGCTGCGTTTCCCTCTCCAAGTGTCTTTCAGGGCGCTGGTCAGCTCGGGAAGAGGCCGAGAGAATGACCCTCGCAGCGGTGGGTGTATCCGGGAATGTGGACGCTTGGCTTTGAAGTTTTTTTTCTGGTGGTTCAGCATTTCCCTCACTGGTATGTGTTTGTCCACGTAGCATGATTGAGAATTTGAAGGATTCATGCGTTCAAAAAGTAGTTAGTACAGTTCTTAGGGACCGACTATCGTCCTTGGAATCTGTCTTGAGTAAGGAGAGCAGTTGAAAGATGCTGCCGGGAGCGGCAGGTAACAGCTGGGTGTTTATTCAGTGAACAAACATTTTTGAGTGTCTGCTGTGTGCCGGGCAGTGTGTGTGCTGAGCAGTGACTTTGTGCCAGAGAATGCAAAATTTCCGGTAGAGGCATCTATCGCCTACCACTCATAGGAGTGAATCATTCGGGCACCCCTCATGCCAGCCCTCTGCGGAAAAGTGTGGCCTACATTTTGAATGTGACTCAAATGATCGATTTCTTGAGCATCTTAGCCTTTCTTTGTTTTTTTTCCATCTATTTTGAAGGGACATGAATTTCTCATATGAAAGGTGTAAGAAAATGGAAAACAAAAGTGAATGAAGGATTCAGAAAGTGGGGATTACTTTAGTTTTCAGGATGGGTAAGTTGCTTCGAGGTCAGCTAGCCCAGTACTGCATTTTACAGCTAACTAAACCCCAGAGATGTAAGGTGTAGCTTAAAAATTTCTGGTGCTTGTCCAGTATTCTTTCTACTATGTTATACTTTAGTAAAACCCTTTAAAAGTTCTAGGTACAGAGATGGAACCCAAACTTTGCATCATTGAGCAGTAACTACCAAAATGCAAGATCCCTTATATTATCTGTTATTTAAGTGAGCCATTGCAACCATCTGTAGAGGCACTATTCTCCTTTAAAAAAAACTTATTGGTGAGAGAGAGAGAAACACTGATTTGTAGTTCCACTTGTTTATGCATTCATTGGTTGATTCTTGTGTGTGCCCTGACCAGAAATCAAACCTACAACCTTGACATATGGGATAACACTTAACCAACTGAGCTAATGCGCTGGGGCCATTGTCCTCCTTTTATAAACAAGTAAACTGAGTCTAGGCAGTAACCTGTCTTGCTCAAGGTCACACAGATAATGAGTAGGGAAGCTGGGATTTGACCTCAAGCCTGTCTGACTCCAAAGCTGGTTTCTTTTCTCTAGTATTTTGTTGCCTGGGAACCTGGGGAAGACTTGAAAGTTGGGCATTAACTTTCATTTTTAATGTGTTTACCTCAGACTTATATTTGAAGGCTCTTTCTTTTTTAATGTTTTTATTGATTTTAGAGAGAGGAAGGGAAAAGGAGAGAGAGAGAGAGAAACACCGGTGTGAGAGAGAAACATCAATCAGCTGCCTCCTGCATGCCCCCTACTCGGGATCGAGCCTGAAACCTGGGCATGTGCCCTGACTGAGAATCAAACTGGTGACCTTTTGGTGCATTGGATAATGCTCAACTAACTGAGCAACACTGGCCAGAGCTGGGGGCTCTCTTGAATTTAATTCCCTTTTAAAAACTCACAAAGGGTCTTATAAATGTGCACTTTTGAAGGCGAGGAACCAGGGAGGGGTAATTGGAGGGGGTGGTACCCATCCCATCACTGGGAAACCAACTGACTATTACATGTCTTTCAGTTGCATGTTTAATCTTAGCTTCAGGTTACCCTACCTCCCAATTGATATATGGTAATGAACATTAAGTTACTCCCTCCTTGCAAATACAAAACAAAACAACAACAATAAAAAAACCTGAGTCCTGACAGGTGTATGCACTGAAAGGTTGCTGATTCAATTCCCAATCAGGACACATGCTCAGATTTCGGGCTCTATCCTCAGTAGGGGCTGTGCAGAAGGCAACCAATCCATGTTTTACTCACATCGATGTTTCTCTCACTCCCCCTCCCTTCCTCTTTCTCTAAAAATCAATTAAAATATTTTAATTTTTTTTTTAAATTCTCACATGAGGATATGGTGGTTTTTTTTAAAATATGTTTTTATTGATTTTTAGAAAGAGAGAGAGAAACATCAATGATGAGAGAGAAACTGCATTGATCAGCTGTCTCCTGCAGGCCCCATACTCGGGATTGAGCCCACAACTGGGGCATGTGCCCTGAACTAGTGACCTCCTGGTTCATGGGTCGATGGTCAACCATTGAGTCACACTGGCTTGGCAGGATATGTTTTTATTGATTTGAGAGAGAGAGAGAGAGAGAGAGAGAGAGAGAGAGAGAGAGAGAGAGAGAGAAAGAAACACCAATCAGTTGCCTCCCATGTGCACCCTGACTGGGGATCGAATCCACAACCTAGCTATGTGCCCTGACCGGAAATCGAAGCAGCAACTTTTTGGTGTATAGTATGATGTTCCAACTAACTGAGCCCACCCGGCCAGGACTGTTGACTAATTCTTCAAGTGAACATTCAAACTTTATGAAATCCAGAGCCAGTTGTAACCCTTGAAAATAGAGGCTTTTGGTGATCCTTGTCCTTCACACAAAAATGTTGACATTATGTTAGAATTTCTCTCTTGTCAGGACATACCTGAGGTCATTGTTTCCTGCATATCTTCAGAATACTCAGTACAGTACTCTTATGTCATTCCAGGAAGACTAAATTTGAGAAACACCCAAAATATTCTGTAAATAGGCAGCTTTTTGCTTTTAGTTAGTATGGTGAATGCTTCTCTAATATAAAATTGTGCCTTTACCTGTTTCCTCCCAAGGAGTTACATCCCAATCAAAGGACAATTCAGGAAACATAACTTAGGCCTTGACCAGTATTTTTCAGGGGATAGAGCATCAGTCTGTGGCCCAAAGGGTTCCAGGTTTGATTCCGGTCAAGGGCACATGCCCAGGTTACGGGCTTGATCCCCAGTAGGGGCCATGCAGGAGGCAGGCGATTAATGATTCTCCCATATCATTGATGTTTCTCTCTCTCCCTCTCCTTTCCTCTTTGAAATCAATAAAAATGTTTTTTTAAAAGGGGGGAAAAAAGAAATATAACTTAGGAAATGCTTCTTTAAAAGTATACTGCCTTTGGGAGAAATGCAAATATAAAATTGAGTTAATATTGATTCTAACTCTAAATTGTGTCCTCTGCCGAAACCGGTTTGGCTCAGTGGATAGAGCGTCGGCCTGCGGACTGAAGGGTCCCAGGTTCGATTCCGGTCAAGGGCATGTACCTGGGTTGCGGGCACATCCCCGGTGGGGAGTGTGCGGGAGGCAGCTGATCGATGTTTCTCTCTCATCGATGTTTCTAACTCTCTATCGTTCTCCCTTCCTCTCTGTAAAAAATCAATAAAATATATTTTTAAAAAAATAAAATAAATTGTGGCCTCTGTTTTAAGCACATCTCAGGGGACAAATAGAGCATTTTGTAATTGGAAGTTATCTTTGTGCTCGCCCCCAAAATTCTATCAACAGTTTGCTCTGTTTCTGTTGGTTTGAAGCTTTATTGTAAGTATCCTGTTGTTTCCTAGTCCATCTTCTTGGTAATGAGATAACCCAGTCCTAGAGGAAGGCAGGTGGTACTTAAATGAAATTGGATTGGTAATTACTGTAAAGCATTTTCTTGCATCTCAATAGCTGCCTTTTATTCTTTTTTACAAAGGCAAG